TGCTGCTTGGCCTGCTGTGTTCATCCAGCCCTGCACCTTGTTGTCTCATCTTTTCCTGAACCTTTTGAGTGGAGCCCTTTTTTAAGTTAAGCCCCACTTGTCTGCCCTGGTCAGGTTTGCTGGCATCAGCCTATATAGTTGCTTTGCTTGGCATGGGCAGGAATATTGACCCGGGCAGTCTTCAGCACTGTAAGCATTTGCACAACAGAATTGGCTTGGTTATGAAGGAGCCAAGTTGGTTATGAAGTTTCTACTCACTGGAAATTTGAGCAAGACGTCTACCCAGTCAGGTACACATCCCATCCATAGATAGATAGCTTTGTGAGCACACATATTTATTGATTTTTCCATGTTGCCTGTGAACACAATTACACTGACAGGATATTAATGAGTGTTCATGGCATGCGAATGGATGCAAAGAATTTCTTGGCCATCTGAGACTTAATATCAAAATTTTAACTCATTTACAAACAACTGAACTTTTTCTTCCTTTCTAAAAGATGTGGGCAGGCCTCAACATTTCTGCCTCTTGAAGACTTTTTAATGGCTTTCTTTTCAAAATGTACAAATAACTACATATTCATGGCACTTATTATTTCATCTGAATGAAGACATTTCTCACAGATCAGTGGTCATAGCTACTGCGTTGGAGTCCATATGACTTAAGTTATGTATTCAAGTTTCTGAAATGGGACCAAAATCTGTATAACTGATGTCTTACCCTAAATGTTCTGCATGATCCTACTTTGTATCATTATAAATAGCATTTATGCTGGCAAGGAGTGTCCAGTTCTGATCGCCCAGTTACAGGAAGGACATTATTAAGCTGGAGAGGGTTCACAAGAGATTTACCAGGATATTGCTGGGTGTGGTAGGTTTGAGTTATTAAGAGAGGCTGGTTAGGCTGGGACTTATTTCACTGGAGGGTAGGAGGTTGAAAGGTGACCTTATAGAGGTTTGTAAAATCATGAAGAGTATAGATAGGTTAACAATAGATGTCTTTTCCCTAGAATGGGAGATTTCAAGACTAGGGGACACATTTTTAAGTTGAGAGGAGAGAGATTTAAAAAAGACATGAGAGGCAATTTTTTTACACAGAGGGCGATTTGCGTGTGGAATGAACTTCCTGAGGATGTGGGCACAGTTACAATGTTTAAAAGACACTTAGATAAATACATGAATAGAAAAGGTTTGGAGGGATATGGGCCAGGAGCAGGCAGATGGAACTAGTTTAGTTTGGGATTATGTCAACATGGATTGGTTGGACCGAAGGGTCTTTTTCTGTGCTGTATGACTCTATGACTCTAAGTAGACTTGTACAGGAGGGATGAAGTAAAGGTATTCACTTTGATTATTTTCCTCTGCGATGATTATATCTTTGTGATTGTTTGCATGTACAGTTCCACTGAGAACTGGAGAATTTGTTTAATACAAATGAAATCTACATTCAGTCCAGTAGGTTGAAGAGTACAAGTTAGTGTCTTTCGAACTCGTCATATTTTCTTTTGCAGCCATTATGGGATCTGATTCAGATGAAATGTTAAACAGAGACTTCAGAACTTCAGAAACAAGAAGATGCTAAGTGGTTCCTGGGAATATGAAAAAAAGAGGTTCAGTCTGGGGACACTGACCATTTGTTCATGTATCTCTGAGAAGTTGCCAATGTCTCTGCTGAGACCTGTTGAGGAGGCGTGGTTTGAAGTCAGCCGATTCAGTTTTAAAAATGAGTTTCAGAGTTTGGTGTCATAGCCCAAACACCGTTGAGGGATTGTGCAGTAAGTGAACCTTTTTATCTAACAGGTTTGGGCTGGCAAATCCATTGAAAAGACAATGGAGTTGAGTTATATTTAATCATTAGTTTCACACTTTTGCAAAATGCATCTATAGTCTTGAATGAGTAGTTTATGTGAAGAAATGTAATTTGGAGAGCTTTGGAAGGAGATGTTTAATTCAACGTCTTGGATAAAGGCTATGGCACAACAATGAACTTTCATCCAGGCAGATAATTAATTACGTTACTTTTATTATATGTGGACCATTTGAACATTTTTAATGCAATGTGAAGAGTTTGAGAATGTGTTTGTTTAGAAGTTTCTGGGTGCACTGATAGCATTGGGTTTGATTAGCAATTCAAAGTGAAATACTTACCTGCATTCATGTTACCCTTATGGTGCAGAATGTCAGCTGAAGAACTGGAAATAAATAGGAAGGGAGGTAGGAATGGAAGTAAAACTTACAGTGTTTTATTCTGCAGGTGTGACTGACAAAAGTTGTGATGCTGGTGTAGCTCCTATGCAGGTAAGAAAAACTGACTCTTTTTTCTTGATGTAGATCTGGAAAAATGACTCTCAGTGTAATCCCCTGTTGGTGAGATCAGGGTTCTTTCTGATTGTAAAATATTCTAGCATCTTCTGGTTGTGAAGATTATATAGTGAAACTGCCTTTAAAAAAAATCAGTTGGAGAACTTTTAGAACTCTAAACACCAAACTTTAAACATGTATGCCAAAGCTATGCATTAAACTTGCAAGTTGTTCATTTATAACTGAGTTGCACAATAACTCAGGTTCATATAAGAAGATTATATTGTCGATGTTAACCATTTAAGTTCGACTTACATCCGCACCCACCCTTAGCAACGTTGGATGTACAGCATCTGTTGCATCATTATTGCTAATGGAAAAATTACATGGAATGTGTCAATTGATGCATTTCCTTCTTTTGTTTGTGGTCATAAAATGTTCACCTACACATTAAGGACGCGAGCTGACTTTGACCAGATAGTGTACACACAGATATGCACTTGTGATGCCAAAGCATACAAAACTATGGGCCAAGTGCTGAAAAATGGGTTTAGAATAATTAGGTGGTTGCTTTTGACTGGTGCAGACTTGATGGGCTGAATAGCCTCTTTCCTGTGCTGGAGACCTCTATGACTATGACTACGGCAAAAAGAGAACAGAGACCCAGTGTTCTCATCCCATTGTGCACCTTTGTTCATCCAGGTTACGCTGCTTTCTTGGTGCAATAGCAGAAGATATTCAAGGGTTGGAAATAATGGGGCCAAATTTAGTTTCCAGTCATGGTGTAAAATGCACAACACTGAATTACGCACCCATTGTTGACCTGATGATTTAAAATCAATGCGAGAAGAACATAATTGGCGACTTAGCTGAAATTCTCCATGTCAAATTTTCATCAAAACTGAACATTTCCTTGAACAAGTGAAATAACACAACTTTCAAAATGTGCAGGATTGCACTGAAAAATGTTGACTTTTTATTGTCGTGTTTCATTGCTGCCTGATTCGAAAGCCTCACCAATTTTAATTCCAACATCCAATTACTGTATTTGTTTTGTGAATTTTTTTTTGCTGTTGCTCACTGAATTCCAATCGGGGTCTCTCTGCCTTTGGCACAATACACTCAGACACTCACATATCTTTAGTACTGTGGACTCCTGAAGTAATTAGGACACCCATGCCGCATGGATCTTGCAGCTGCTCCTAGAATTGCAGGCTTAGTTAAAGATTTGTTATAGTTTTCTTACAGTTATTACAGTCATTATGTTTTACTAATAGAAGATTTTTATTCATTTTGTTTCATTAACATTAAAAAAAAAGAAAAAACCAAACAAAAAAAATTCTCGATTATTTTTTAAATGGACTTTTTTTTTAAAACAAGCATTTAGGGGTCTACAGTGAACGACTGATTTTTTAAATTCTAAATTCAGAAGGTAAAAATGTCTATATGTGTTTTAGAAGGTTTTTTTTTACATTTCAAAAGTCGTTTTGTTTGAAAAACTGAACAATTTTTTTATGGAGTTGTGTTTTCGTTTTGAGGAGCCCTACACATGGTTGTCTGTGGAGAATATCTTTTTCCTCAAGGAATTTATTGAAGAGGAGTCTTTTTTTTATTCAGTTGAAGAGGAGTTTTTTTTATTCAGTTAATCAGCTAGGTGGTTAATTTTATTTAAGTTTTATATGCTTGATATGTACATTTTAAATTTTTTCCATTTTAACATTATTTTCTTAGGTAATCATGAAAGGTAGTTTATTTTATATATAAGGTGTTATTGAAACATCCTTTTTTAAGCTCAATGTTATTAAGGGCATATATGAGGTACAGAGTAAGATGGCTGGTAGATTTTGAAAAGTTATTACCCAGCACGATCAGTCAGATAGATGGGTGACTGTCGGGAATGGTAGGAACGTAGTTCGAAACTCTTCAGTGGCTATTCCTCTATCAAATAGATATTCAGTTTTTGGAACTGTTGAAGAGGATAGTATCTCTGAGAAAAATGGAAGGGCCAGTCAGTTGTTGGACACTTGGAATAAATCTTACGTTAGGCAGCATTTGACAAGATTTAATAGAATTGTTGTTGTAGGGGACTGTCGTGTCAGGGGCACAGACAGGAGATTCTGTGGCAGTGAGCGTAAATTTAGGATGGTTTGTTGCTTTCCTGGTGCTTGGATTAAGGACCTCTCTAAACGTTTCAAGCATATTGTTAAAGGTGATATTGACAAGCTAGAAATTATTGTACACATTGCTGGGAATGACATTTTTAGGGAAAAGATTAAAGCAGTACAGAGTGAATTTAAGAGATTAGGTAGAAGATTAAAAAATAGAACCTTGAAAGTAATCATTTCTGGTTTACTCCCAATGCCAAACTCAAATAAGGGAAGGAACAAAGGTTAAAGGAAATGAATCAACGACTGAAGAACTGGTGTATTGTTCAAGGATTCGGGTTTTTGAACAAGTTGAATGTATTTTAGTATAGAAAAGACCTATTCAAAATGGATGGGTCTAACCTAAGCTGGAAATGGACCATTATCTTAGCAGGGAGATTTGCTCATTCCATTAAGGGAAACTTTATACTGATAGAGAGGGGGAGTGGAGGAATTCTAAGTAGCAGTGTAAACACAAGGATTGATGGGGAAGGTTCTGAATGTGAGGAGAGCACATCAGTTAGAAAAGAAAGACAAGAAAGATTCAGAGTATGTAGTGACTCTGAAGAACTAAAGTGCATTTATAACAATGCAAGGGGTCTTACAGGTAAGGCTGTTGAACTCAGGGCATGCTTAAGAACATGGGATTGGGACATCATAGCTATTACAGAAACTTCGCTGAGAGATGGACAAGATTGGCTACTTGGGTTTTAGATACTCTAGGAAGAATACAAAAGGAGGCAAGAAAGGAGTGGGTGCATTTTTGATTAAGGAATACATTACTGCTGTAACTAGGGAAGATATTTCTGAAAAATCATCCAGTGAAAATATATAGGTAGAAATTACAAATTAGAAAAGAAAGATCACTTTGATGGGATTGAACTATAGGCCCCCCAATAGTAAGAGGGAAATTGAGAAACAAATATGTAGGGAGATTTCAGATATATGTAAGTGTAATAAGGTTGTAATAATGGGGGATTTAATTTTCCAAACATTGATTGGGTCTACTATAGTGTTAAAGGTTTGGATGGTGAAGCGTGTGTCGAATGTGTTCAAGGAAATTTTCTTTATCAATATGTGGATGCTCCTGCTAGAGAAGGAGCAAAACTAGACCTTCTGTTGGGCAATAGGGCAGGGCAGGTGACTGAAGTAAACATGGGGGAACACTTTGGGTGTAGCGATCACAATTCTATTAGTTTCAAAATGGTTATGGAAAGGGATAAGCCTTTCATAAAAGTTAATGCTTCTAATTGGAGTAAGGCATATTTTAGTGGTATCAGACAAGAACTTTCAAAAGTAGATTGTAGCAGACTGTTTGCAGCTAAAAGGATGTCTGACAAGTGGGAGGCATCCAAGAGTGTGATGACAAGAGTTTAGAGGCATTTTGTTCCTGTTAGAGTGAAGGGTAAAATTGGTAAGATTAAGGAACAATGGATGAATAAAGATATTGAGATTCTAGTCAAGAATAGAACAGAATCTTATTTTAGATATAGACAACTTGGTTCAGTGAATCACTTAATCAATATTAAAAATGTAGGGACATTCTTAAGAGAGAAATCAGGAAGGCAAAGGGGGACATGAGATAGCATTGGCAGATAAAGTTAAGGATAATCCAGAGAGATTCTACAAATACATTAAGAGCAAGAAGGTAACTAGAGAGAGTGTAGGGCCTCTTAAAGATCAAGGAGGTCGTGTTTGTGTTGAACCCCAGGAGATGGGAGAGATACTAAATATATATTTTGAGTCAATTTTTACTGTGGAGAAAGAAAGAGTCTATAGAATGCAGAGAAATAAACTTTGATGTTTTAAAACAGTTCACACTATAAAAGAGGAAGTTTAAGAGATCTTAGAGAATATTAAGATGGATACATCTCTGGGACCTGATCTGATGTAACCCAGAGCATTGTGGGAAGTAAGGAAGAAAATTACGAGACCCCTGGCAAAAATATTTTCATCATCTATAACTATGGATGAGGTCCCTGATGATTGGAGGTGGCTAATGTTGTACCTTTGTTTAGGAAAGGTTGTAAGGAAAAGCCAGGGAACTATAGACTTGTGAGTCTAACTTTGGTTGTGGATAAATTGTTGGAGGTGATTATAAAAGATAGGATTTATGGCCATTTAGAGAGGCAAAAATTGATTAGGGATAGTCAGCATGGTTTTGTGCAAGGAAAATCATGTCTCACAAACTTGATTGAGTTTTTTGAGGAAGTTACCAAAAGATTGATGATGGCAGAGCAGTAGATGTTTATTTGGGTTTTAGTAAAACCTTTGACAAAGTTCCGCATGGTAGACTAATTAGTAAAGCCAGATGGCATGGGATTCATGGTGAGATTGCCAATTGGAGTTGGGAAGTCATGTTGAGGTTGTACAGGACATTGGTGAGGCCTGTTTTGAAATACTGTCTCTAGTTCTTGTCGCCCAGTTATAGGAAGGATATTATCAAGCTGGAGAGTGTTCAGAAGTGATTTACCAAGATGTTGCTAGGTATGAAAGGTTTGAGTTATAAAGAAAGGCTGGATAGGCTGTGACTTTTTTCACTGGAGTGTAGGACATTGAGAGGTGACCTGATAAAAGTTTATAAAATAATGAGAGGTATAGATAGAGTTATGGGCAGCTGTGTTTTCCCGAGGATGGGGGATTTCAAGACTAGGGGGTACATTTTTAAGATGAGAGAAGAGAGATTTTTTAAAAATGCAAGAGACAATTTTTTTACACAAAGCGTGGTTCGCATGTGGAATGAACTTCCTAAGGAAGTGGTGGATGTGGGTACAAATACAACCTTTAAAAGACATTTGGATAGATACATGAACAGACAGGTTTGGAGGGATATGGGCCAGGAGCAGGCAGGGG